ATTTGACAATGTTGAATGTGCACTCAGATTCAATACTCTCTCCGGTCCACAATAAGTGACTAATTTATTTTTTTATTTTGGCCCAAAATAAGTGTACATTTATATAATCAAGAAAAAATTTAATTTATTTTTATTCTTTTACCCTTACGTGCATATCCCTAAAAAGTTTTCTTACTCCTCACATTAATATTTAACTAAGGATAGTTTAGTCATACTAGGTATTTTTGTATAGAATTTAGTATTTTCTTAATGGGCGTGCCTAAAGTAAATTGGTCACCTATTGTGGACCGATGAGAGTATAGAAGAAGTCGATATTATACAATCAAGAAGTGTATGACTGAATTTAAACAAGTTCGATTTTTGTTTTCTTTTTTAAGTTTATTGATTAGGTTAAGGAATCCTACAGGTGGACGAATTTCTCAGCAAACAAACCTTAAAATGTTGACCTCTGTAATCTGAACAAGTTCCTTTTGAATTGGTTTACATATAGTTTGTTTTGATACTTGACTAATTAGTTCTTCTAGGATAAATCCTATTAGCTTAATCAATTTAGATAAACTTAGCCTGCATCATGATTATTCAGGTCAAATCGACTCGTACCACTTACTCAACCCATATACGACATTGATTTTCTTCATATACACCTCACTTAAATGCTGGAACGCTTTGATAATGGATTTAACTCACGCTGACAGTGTAAAAAATTTATACTATCATATGATTTAACATGTTGTGGGCTAGTTGTTACTTTTTTTAAAAAAGTTATTAATTGTTTTATATAATGACAATTACCTATAGTCATTTTTTATGTAGCCTAATAATATAAAAAACTTAAACTCTTAAATATTCATAAATTAAATTGATTAGTATTAATAATTGGTTGAATGTGAACAATCTATGAGAATAAGTATTTATCATGCCCACAAGGATTGGCTGTGTTGGTTGGGTGAGTAGTTTCTCACATGGAATACCTGGGATCGATTTTCCTCACCAGCAGCTTCCTCAGTCAGAGCTCGTTGCACCAGACGTGCCTAGTGTGGTTTACATTTCATGTGTGGTTTGCGAGGTATTGCACAGTGAGCAGGTTACTCAGTGCGCACCCAAAGGGTTGCGGCTTCGATTTTCCCTGGAAATTTTCCAAAAATAAGTATTTATCATGTGGTAGTGAAAGCAGCTAAGCAAATGTAGGTTAGGAACAGAGCCCGTGATTCCCGTCGCAAAGGAAGCTGCAAACATATGCAAAAACAAATTAGTTTTCCTTTCTTAAAGAAATTATAGAGATCAACATCAGCTAGCAAGGCATCACACATACCTGTACAAGCACTTCAGCAGTACGTACAATCAACTGTTAGCACTCTACTTAATTGACTCATTATTGAAGTTAAAACAATTTTTTATAATAACTAGTCTTATGGTACGCGCTTTGCGTGTGTACTCATATTAGATTATATAACTTTTTAAAAAATGGCATCGATATTATTAAATAATATATTTGTATTAAAAATATGAAATTTCCTTAAAATGATGGATATTGATTCTATTTAGCAAGTCTAATAAATAAATAAATATGAATTATTATGATTTTTGGTGTCCCGCGAGTGACCGAAGTAATCTGAACTATATTTTTAATTTTTTTTGTTATTTGTTTTGATTGTTGAGTATCATCTTAAAATATTATACAAAACAATCAATAAAGAGAAAAATATTATTTGAGTAGAAAAGTATAAGAGTTCAAATAATATCGAATCAATTACAGTTTTGTTATTTTTAAAAAATTATGGACATGTTACATTATTTAAATAAAAAAATAATTTATATAAGATAAAATCTCTATTGCTCTTAAGATCCTAATCATCAATACTTTCAACATAAATCAAATAAGAAAGAATTCAAAAGGTAACAAAATTGATGAACATCCAGCTTTGAATCTTAATCACTTTTGTTTTCACTTGTCAATTAGGGGTTAGGCAAAGTTGAGACTGACCTCGGAGAGAGACACTTATAAAATTCTCTTGGATTTCATGTAGGCTCTTGCCATATGAAGCTTCTGCCTCAAGCCCCGGACGTATGCTTGGTATGCACCCAACACCTTGCGCACGAGCTTGTCCAAAATTTTTGCGCAATCGTGTGTAAGTAGCTTTGTATGTTTATCATTAAAATTCCATTAACAATCATTTGACTCGTCAAAAACTCTATTCATTAATCATATTTCCGAAGTTGAAATTGAACACTAATATCGCGTCATAAAAATGAATTTGATAAAACCTTTCATCTGAAAATTTCACATATTTTAACTTTAGTTAGATCTTCATTATTCAATTCTTTATATTTTTACTTCAAATTTTGTTTTTTGATTTATTTCGTTTGGTAACAATATTTTTGTATTTGTGGGTTATGAAACTTATTATTTAATAGTTAATGTTAGTGTTAACAATTTATAAATAATTATATTCATTAGTGTTCTTTTAGTAATAGATTAGAGTATTGAATTATTCGTCAATTTATTACTTCTAATATCTTATTGGAAGCACACAATGGTAAGTTATATTATGTAACTTATTCTTCTAAGATTAAATGCCGCTTCCTAATTTTTTAATTTTTAATTTGATTGCTTCTAAAAAAATATCAATAAAGAAAATAGTAATCTTTTGAGCAGAATAATTAAATTGTTGTGTTAAAAATTTGTTTTTGTATCATTTACTTGCCGTCCAAGCCTATGTGAAAAAACGATGTCTTATGTTTAGTTTTTAAATTCTATCTATTAGAATAAAGTATTAGTTTTCCTATTCGGTTAGGCTCAATCTTTGAAACTTACATGTAGTAAAAGGATTTTTACTACAATGACGTCCTAAATACACTTGATGTAAGCCTTTATAAAAAAATTATGTTTGATATGTAAATAGGAAAAAAATTTATAGAAGGTAAACTCTTTAAATTCCTAAATATTAGGATTTTATACATAGTTCAAATAAGAAAAAAATTTATAAGTAATTTTTTTGTTGATTTTGAAGTCCTAATTATTAGGAAAGTAACTTAAATCATAATTTTATCTAATATGAAATTTATTTTTAAAGAGTAAAAAAAGGCGAACGACAGTTCGCTAAGGGAATTTTGTGCTTTTAATATAGTACTAGTCTCATAATACGCGCATTGCGCGTGAACCCCGTCATGCATAAACTTTTTAAAAATCACATAAATTTGATTATTAAATATGTATTTGTGCTATAAAAGCAAGTTCATGAAAAACAATATTCACATTAATAATTAACTAACTCAGCAAAGGATCCTCACAAAATCATATGTGAAAACGTAACGCACAAACGGAAATAAATATAAGATGTTTCATAAAGCTAAAGTATAATTAACAGTGCAAATAACCAGGAAATAGTGATGAAAGATGACAAGGGGAAAGAAGAAAGAGACATCCAAGAGCTAGGAAGATTAAGACAAATAGTTATAGTCCACTGAATAACTTCTAAGTCAATAGAGGGTTTTGATCATGTCTTAACGGTATGAGGAAGGCTAGCAGCAACTTGGCTGCCAATATGTTTTACTGTGAATGTGTGTAACTCTGAATTAATTACAGCATAACTTCTAAGCCTTGTTCTGTGCGGCAATGGTGTTTAAGCAACATAACAATTTGAATACCTTTATTTTATTGGAGAAAAGAGTGTTTAATGTGGAAAGTGGAAACCAACGTTTAATCAATTTCAGCATGAGCTTCTTTTTAAAAATTATTATATTTCTCGCCATTGCAGAAAAAGATACAGTTGACTCCCCATGCTAACTTATCTGTTGTTTTTTCTCCGTTTTACATTGAAAACGTATATTTTGACTTAATCAGTTTGAACGATTAATCATTTTCTTTAACTACGAAAAGTCGGAAATATTGGTAGTTATATGTAATTATATATTTGTCATGCTAGGCTAGATTGCTCAAGAATTAAACTAAATTGGATGGGCCAATGAGACAATTAAACGAGAAAGGGAGATTTTGGAAAATAAATTAATAAAAGCTGCAATATTCATGTTGGAATCTTTTGATAATGATATTATATAAAAATTGAAATTTTTTAATCTTCATTAGGGTGGTCCCAAGACTTGTTTCTATAACTAAAACGACAAGAGTAACAAAAATTTTACCCTGAACTTAATTGGACTCAATCAATAAACAAGAGTATTTTAAAGTTTTACTGGCCTTTGTAATCAGAAAGTGGTGGAGAGTTATGTTTTCAATGGTGTTGAAGCAGTCCACAAAATTGCCTAAGTACTTGTTTCAGAATTTTTACGCAACACATTTAATGTATATTCCAATTAGTATCTACTATAGCTGTATTTATAAATAGGTTAAATTTAAAGTGTTATGGAATGATATACGAAAATATTTTCGTATGACCATTATTTTTCTTCTAAAACTATTTTGTACATTTTTCAGTGTTTCTTGAGTTATTAAGGTAAGTTACTTATACTAATCGTAGAATGTGTTGGTATGTGGTATGGAGATAGTGTTTGGTGATAATTTTAGTATTAATTAAACATTATTAATATTTACGTCTGTTTAAGAAAGTGTTGTGGAGTAAGAGTCAAGATAGTCAAAATAGTCCTATTGAAAAATGAATTATTCACGTAAATTAACTTTGTTCATTGGTTGGAAATATTTTCAACAACCACAGAATAAAAAAATGATTCAGGGAAGACATTTTGGACCATATCAAACAGAGGCCGAGCTGCTTTTCTACAGAAGCTGTACAAAGAAGAGCTGGTCTCACATGATTAGTTTCATATCTTTTTTTCCTTTTTTTTTTGCGTCAACATATATGTGGATTTACGTGAATCCAATAGCTATATATATTAAAAATTATTAAATATCTATAAATATTTGACCGTTGATCTAATTATTATTGTATATTTTTACTTGAGGTAGCACGAAATAACTTATACACTTCAAATTCTAGACTCATCTCTATAGCGTACTTATTACATCATGGAGGAATGGTTGCATTTACTATATATTCATATGCATGAAGAGTTAGATAGATAATTGGAGAGAGAGAGAGAGAGAGAGAGAGAAGTTTTCAATCTTCTAGGTGAAGTCCAGGGTTTGATTTTCAATTGTTTCTATGTAGAATATTTTTCTTGTATAGTTAAGTTCACTTCAAATAGAAAGAAGAACAAGTAAAGTTGTGCAGTTTACATAAGTCATAAAAAATTTGATCATAGGCGATGCATTTACTTTTTTCTTTCTTTGTTCCCTATTTGTAATTATATTCTAGGAATGATGGAGGATAGTGATGACACTGTATGTTCCAAGAGAAGCCCTAATTATTCAGAAAAAAATGAAGAAGAGGGCAATAACAGCTCGATCAAATTGCCTAAGGATGGAGGAAGTTCAAGCAACAGTAGTGTTGAAGTGGGCGAGAAGGTGAGGCCTTATGTTCGATCCAAGATGGTTAGACTTCGTTGGACAACTGATCTCCATCGCCGTTTTGTTCATGCTGTGGAAAGACTTGGTGGACAAGAAAGTAAGTTTCTACAATTTCCTTGATTGTTTTTTTGGAATTTTCTGCTTTTATTCACCTTTGTTTAAATGTTTATGTTTCTTCTTTTCTTTCTTTTTTGGCGCAGGAGCAACACCCAAATTAGTTCTTCGATTGATGGACATAAAAGGACTCAACATTGCTCATGTCAAGAGCCATCTGCAGGTAAATTTAGGTGCCTAGCTAGAACAAAACCAAGTATATCTAAAAGATTTCGTCATTCATATAAATTCAAGAAACAAATAATAAGGTTATTTTCAATGAATATAAAAAGTTTTATATAACTGCTTATCCTTTTATTTTTATTTTTCCGATTAGTATGTTTTCTTATCTTGGTTTGTTTCTAATAGATGTATAGAAGCAAGAAGATTGATGACCCAACACAAGGTATGCTTGTTATCCGATCCTTTTATCTTTTTAATTTTTAAATTTAGGGGTAATAAATTCACTAATTTCAATTCCTTACCTCACAGGTGTTGCAAATCATCACAGGCTTTTTATGGAAGGTGGAGATCCAAACATCTACAACTTGAATGAACTCCCAATGCTCCCAACCTTTAATCAAAGATTCAATTCCACTTTTAGGTATGCAAATTTATTGTGCTCATTATAGGCTTCTTACCTTTCCTTTTGCTTTTCTAATGGGCGCACAACAACAACAACAACAACTGCGCCTGAATTTCAAGCAAGTTGTAGACGGTTGCCTATATGAATCTTTACCGTTTATGTCGCTCTATTTAAGTTCGTCTCAATCCAAATTAAACTGATATGAGATATTTTTACTCTTTTACCCAGATATGGAGATGCTTCAAGGAATTGTCTACAAAGCACAGCTGAGAGGATTTTTGGCAATAATCATAGTAGGGCAGTTGATCAAGATTCCATTACTGGGATTCCTTCTTTCATTAGTGAAAGATCCACTTGGAGAATAAACGAAATGAAAAAGCTAACTCCATTATTCCAGAGAGCTGCAAAAGCTAAAGCAAGATTGAGTCTTTTGAAAAGGAAGGCTATAGATTGTGACCTAATTGACCTGAATTTATCTCTAGGAGTAAAGCAAAAGAATAACAGCCACAATCATGACGATGGGAGTACCATATCATTGTCATTAACCTCAGCAATATCTCCTTCAAGATTGAAAGAAGATGCTCATTGTGCTACAAAAGAAAATGCAAGAAGAGGGGCAAGTACTCTGGATCTGACTCTATGAATGGGACATGATTCTAAGTGAGATCTTGAGGTACTTGTTTCTGATTAGAATGCATTTTGTTGAGAATCTCTTAATATGTACCATTTACCAAGGTAATATTACTAGTCCACAATAGTATTTGTTCTAGTATCTTTGTCAATACTCTCTTCGTTCCATTTTATTTTAAGCTATTTTCTTACTAGTCTGTTTCAAGAATCTTTGTCAATACTTTGTTCGTCCCATTTTATTTGACACTATTTTCTTACTAGTCTGTTTCAAGAAAAATGATACATTTTTATATTTCCTGAATATGAAACTTTTATAACCATACAAATATTATATTATATTTTAGATCACAAGTTTCAAATGTCCTATGACCACACAAATATTATAGGATATTTAAGATCATAAATATTATAAGTTCTTATTTCTTTTTTAAATTCCGTATTAATCAAACTATATCAAATAAATTGAGACAAAAGGATTATTTGTTTTGCTAGTATATTACTTCATCTTTTTGGGTGCTTCTCCAAATTACAAAGATTATCTTTAAGAAGAAAGTGACAAAGTGAATAAGGGATAGGATGACCAATCTTGATAGGAGGAAAGTTATGGGTACTTGTGCAGGAATAGTGTCTAAACCTTTGCATAAGGGGTGTGTAAGTTAACATGAAACTATTCCCTTCTGCTGATAATAATTCCAAAATACTAAGTAACCTACAAAATTCATCTTTCCAATCTGAAACTTCCAAGGAAAATAAAAAAATTCTTTCAAAGACGGTTTTTGTTGCTCGAGCCGTGACTATTGGAAGAGCATTTCTTGGGTCAGAACATGATGTTTGTATGGAAAAGGACAAAATATTCAACCACATGGTACTTCACTTCTGAAGTTGTAATTCCAAGATTACAGGTAATGTCAGCAGGAATCATTCTTATATATAATACATTGCCTCTTATATGGACTCAAACTTCATGAATACCATATAAGAGAAACAAAGAATTTCTTTGAACAAAGGGTATTGACTGTGATGGCAATTTTAAATATATCCATGGGCGAAGAATCTCAGCTTACCATGTCAAATCTTAGCTAACCAACATTAATACTCCCTATATGTCTTACTTCGACTTGACATGAAGTTTAAAAATATATAAAAAAAAATTGATTCTTGTGGTATTAAGCTAAAGGTGTGCATATCAAAAATATCCTTTGATGTGAAAAAATAAAGTTGATTTTTTGGAAGAGTAAAAATTATAGATAGTTAGAAGAGTTTCTAGAAAGTTATGGAGTAATATCTTTAATATTTGTTGTACTTAAGAAATATCTAGATATTCTAGAGTCTTGGATATTTAAGGAAGATATTAGTAGAAGATGATAGAATTGTCTAGATTAGTTTTGTATCTAGAATTATCCCTAGATAAGTATAAATAGGAGTAGTCTTAGGCATTTGTAACGAAGCCAAAAAAATCAAAAAAGCCTTCTTTCCTAACAAAATTTTCCCCTCCAAAACTTTCCTTATCTTTTCAAAACTTCCTGTTCTTTAGTTGAATCTTCCTATTTTTATTTAACGATCCTGGGCTAGCATAAGATCTCCAAATAATACTTTTCTTCTGCTATTCTTCACATGGTATCAGAGTCAAAGTTGGCTTCTAGATATATTTGCAAGGTCGGGTTAGTGGTTGATTCAACTGGTTTCTCTAAATGGATTTGGGTGATCGTGCTAATGGACTGGGGATGGAGTTGTTGAACCAGTTCAACTACAAGGTATGGAAGACTTGTATGGAGTCATACCTTGTTGGTGAGGATTTGTGGGAAGTTTTCAATGGGAGTAACACAAGTTCTCCTGCTAACGCACCGAAAAATAGCAATGCGCATAAGAAGTGGAAGCAGATTAATGTGAAAGCGGAGTTTATCCTAAAGAGGTTTATCTCTCCTAATTTATTTGATCATATTATAAGGTGTAAATCAACTCATGAATTATGGAGGACCTTCGATCGGCTGTTCAACAAGAAGGATGAAGCTCGGCTACATATTTTGGAGAATGAGTTAGCTAACACCACTCAAGGTAATCTCTCTACCGCCGAGTATTTTTTGAAGGTTAAAAATTTGTATTCCGAAATTTCTCTATTGAATTCGGACCAGACTATCTCTGAAGTATGAATAAGAAAAATTATTATCCGTGGTTTAAAGCCAAAATATATTCCCTTTGTTACATCGATTAAAGGATGGGTTCAACAACTATCTTTGGAAAAAATTGAGAATTTGTTGTCGTCACAGGAGCTACTAGCCAAACAGATGGTTGGTGTATCTATCAAAGAAGGGGAAGGAAATTCTCTTGTCGCCGATAAGAGGAACTTTAAAGGGAAATCAAGAGATAACATGCACTTTCTATCCTCAAGTGGTTTAAGCTCGCCAGGAAAGAAGGGGAGTCTTCCAGTAACGGTAAAAAGACTTTAAAATATTATAGTTGTGGTAAAGTTGGACACATAAGAAGATATTGTCGAGCCAAAGAGAGCAATATGGCTCAAACCAAGAAAGCTGGTGAAGAAGAAGAAAAAGAAGAAGACTGGGGAAAGTACTTTGCAGCGGAGACTCTATCAATAAATGACATGGCTTCAATAAATTTTGAAAGAGACTGGATCGTGGATTCAGGATGTGGACACCATCTCACTGGACATCAATCCAAATTCTCCACCTTTCGTGAATACAACGAATATGATGTCATTATTACAGCAGATAATACAATCCATAATGTGGAGAAGGAAGGCACTCTTGTGATCAACGAGAAGCAAAAATACACTATCACCCTCAACAGTGTCTTTCATGTTCCAGGTATGAAGAAAAATATTTTCAATTGCAAATGTTGTAGATGCTGGAAACTATTTGCTATTTGGCCCACGTGATGTGAAGTTTCTCCGAAATATTAAGGTGCTCAAGGGAGATATCATTCACTCAGGAAGAGAGTTAATGATTTATATGTCTTATCTGCCTCTAATTCATATATTGAGAAGATGAGTAGCAATGATAACACACATCTTTGGCATGCTAGACTTGAACATCTTAGCATGGATAAATTAAATATAATAAAAAGATTGCCTAACTTAAGAAATTTTGGTGGAGGAGAGGTTTCTGAAGGATATCAATATGGAAAGGCACATCGTCTTCCATTTGACAGATCCTTGTCAATGTGCAATGCCCTACTAGAACTTATTCAAAGTGACTTGATGGGGTAACGAGAACTCCTTCATTCTCCGGCTATTCTAATTTATATGCTAATTTTCATTGATGATTTTACTAGATTCACTTGGGTTTGTTTTGTGAAGCACAAGTCATAAGTTTTCAATAAGTTTGTGGAGTTCAAAGAAACAGTTGAAGGCGAACTCGATTCCAGAATAAGGCAGCTGCGAACTGATAATGGCAGTGAGTTCATTTCAGATGAATTTCTTTCCTTTTGTCGTCGACATGGCATTAAAAGAGAACTCACATGGACTAAAAGTATGTCATTCTTTTTTGTAAGAATACTAGCTGCGATAAGCCCGGGCTGTGGCCGGGCCCAAACTCACGGAGAAAAGTGGTCCTTTTGTTTTAATTTTTGTGACATTTTTTGTTTCTCAATAGTCTATTTGATTAACCTTTAAAATTAAATAGAATTAGATCAACAGAATATTCTAAAATTAAAATGCAGATATTTAAACACTATATGAAAAAATCACAGTTGCAATTCTATAAGAAAATATTTTTAAAATCTCGATCAAAATTTATATAATTTGAATTTCGAAAAAAACGAATTATGCCACACCAATTGAGTTAGGGAGTAATACTTTTGTTTGGAAAAGAATAATTTGCATCACGTTCTTAAGTTTCCACCAAATTTCTTATTCCACCAAATTAACTAAATTTCTGTATATCTTGTTTTGATATTTGACACGGGCAAAAGCTGAGAGCATAATAAATGTGCTCCCTCGGGTCCGTTATAATTATCATATTTATCTCTTGCACACCCCTTAAAAAAATATTAACTAAAAGAATAATTTGACTAAGTTATCCTTATTTATTTTTTGATCTTAAATACTTTTCTTTCTTTCATCAAATTTATCTCTAATGTGAAGAAAATTACTTTCTCCCTCAAACTATTTTTTGTGTTTCTCTTTCATATGTCTCTTCTAAATATTAATTAGGAGTTTTTTTTTTTATAACTATTTTACTCTTATTAATTATATCTTAAGATATAATATCTGTTCATTGAATATTTAAGCTATCTATGCGTCTAATTGAGGTGTTTGCGGTCTTCAAGAACAATTACTACTAAGGTTAAAAAGGAAAAAATAATTAAGTTGTCTTGAACTTATAAAATAACAAATAATTTAAGACAACTATTTTTTAAAATCTCAACAGTTAATTTGAGAGAAAAGAAAGTAATTAATCCTATTGATTTTTAGACTATCAAACACTTACACTACCAATTTGTTTGTAGTAAATCATGACAATAAAATGAACTGAAAATAGTACTTTGATAGAGTAAAGGACTACTAAGGACACGTGGCTTTCAAATGTGCTCCTCAAACCTCTGCTCTTGTTGTGGAGATAGGAAAATACAACATGTTGGGCCGTGTTCGTCTTTCCCTTTCGTACACCCAACTCCCGTTTCTAATATACACGGGCCCAACACAGTTAACATACGTTTCTGAATTCTTCTAGTAAAAAATTATACACAACCTTTTGAGAACACCATATTATTGCATGATATAAAAAATTATTTCATGTACCATTAGTAAGTTATAATTACACAAAATTTGAAAGTTTAAAAACCAAATATATCTTCTAAAGTTAATGCAACACTGTGTTCTGTCAATCTGAAACCGTCATCTGTTTGAAATCTCAAATAAATGTGATGAAAGCTTTTTAGGATAAGGTAGAACTTTTTCTCCTTTGCTAGAGTACCTGCAATGCATTTCAAATAAAAATTATCCAAACCTTTTTTTACATTATATGTAGGAAACAAACCAAACAGTTATACGGTCTTAAGCCAAACATCATTCTGAAAGAACCAATATCACAAAAAATTTAACTTGACAGTAAGAATTAGAAATGCACATGGTCAAAGCAATACACAGACCAATATTTTATGTAAAACACTAAATAAAGCTTCTTGTTTATTCCTCCTTTTTTATCATCATACAAACCAAAATCACATTTTATTTAATACCACTAAAACCATGGAAAAGTAAGCTGGGAAGTTATAGATTTAGGCAAGCCTCACCTTCAACCAGAGCTCTATCCCTTCCCACTAACAAAGAGAGAAACAATGCCCTCTCAGTTATCAAAGTAATTCAAAATCCTCCGTCTCTTCCATGGATGAGGAAGGCTCTTCTTGTACACCAATTTTACTTCTTCTCCATTTTCTAGCTCTATTGACTTCCAAGCAGATCAAAAGCTCAATAGTTCATGGCCCACCCAAGAACCATACAGCCTCCAATGTTGCAACAGCTTATTCCGAGTAAGGTTCAGAGATATTGTCTATGAAAACACAAGAGTAGTTCATATAGCTGATAATTCCACAGAAAAGCAACAGTTCTAAAGAAGAAATCTTCTCATGAGTAGAGGTGTCTTGTGAGCTCTGCTATATCAAAAGACAATTGTTAGTTCCACTCACGCTACTACTCCTTGAGGCATGCAATTTCGGAAGGTCCCTCGATGTTAAGAGTGTCACATGATAAGTTAGTTCGAGCAAGTAGGCAGTATGATAATTTCACTATATGAACACTATCGTCAAATCTTTTCCATCTTCTTCTTTAGTTTCACTGTAAATTTGTGGTTATACAATGAAAGTGTGGTTATACAATGAAAGTTTAACGACGTATTGATTAGTAAACTAAAATTGAACCACAGATACCCTCTCCCCAAGGTCAACTATATGTGACTTCCGCGAATCTGGAGAAGTTTTTCCAAAAATTGAGAGCTTGAAACATCATTAGGCAGTTATATATGCTGGTAATCTTTTTTTTATCCTTTATGCTATTTTTTCCTCGTTCACTTTTCGAAATACTGTCCCACTTTATTTAGATCCTGAGATTTAAGTCCATTTCTTTTTTATTTTCTTTCCTTGGAAAAATCACCCCTTGGCAGAAACAGATTTGTTGATATTCTACAGAATCAAATCAAAGTACAGGAAACGGTCTCCATATGCGCATGCTCAACGTAGATAGTCCATCTTGGATAAAAGAAAAGAACCAATAGAGAGCTGCAAGACATAGTTAATGGAAGATAGTCTCAAAGGAAACTAAGTGTTTAAGTATCAAAACCAGCTCCATTCTACCACATTATTGTAGAATAAAGAGACAACAATGAAAACTACGCCTTAGTTCCAAACAAAGTTGGGATCGGTGAATATTATACGACAAAGACAATATCTCCAAAAATAAATTAGAAATATACCAATACATCAAGAATCAAGAGCAAAAGAAAAGTAGTGCATGTACTTGTATGAAGAAGTAAGGTTAATGCATTGACCTTTTAATAAATTTTTTGCTCGTTTTTCCCTGGAAGACTAAATTAGACATTGACAGTGCTGCTGCAATTTCAGAACGTCTGGGCTCCACGAAGCCAATAAATCTACCTTCAATTATAATCCAATCACCCAATCAAATAAATTAGATATTTAAAGAAAAGATGTTACCGTAGAAGTTGGTTCACCATATCCGACGACTCAATGTGAGACCTTTTATTATACTTAGTAACAGTTGCATCGATCATGGCAATAAAAAAGACGACTGGCATTTGAGCACCACTATCTTAGTAAATAATTAACGAAGGTACAAGTTATATAATTCTGCACTTCGTTTTCAATGTGCTTAATCACAGAAAGAGTTGATTCTTTTTACAGTTTGACCTTCAAGCATAAATTTAGGCTCCCCCACGATTTAATATTAGCTACACAATCAAATTTAAGAAAACTTAATGTAACAAATAGAAAAAATATAGTTCTTCTGAATGATAAATTTCAGTCACAACTGATCATCAGCTAGAGGAGCGCGCATCAATCTCTTCCAATATTGGCAGAAACTGATAAAAAGGCCATGCTACTTTGCAAATTTTACTTCACCATAAATTCCGAAAAAGCAATAGAGCAAAATGCACAAACAACTAAATTCATTGTTTAAAGACAGAAGGCTGCAATTGAAAGAGAAATTGCCATATATCTAAAATTGACTTGCATGCAACTTCAGGGAATCTCTAGAAAACAAATAACACCTACAATCGTTAATGATTCTAAAAGGCTCACCTTGCACTTTTGTCTCAGAGAATCTCTGCAGCACCGTCGTCATCGGACGAACTCAAAATATCAGGAGTAACATCACCAGAAGTTTTTCATCTCTAGCTATGGAATTTCAATGACTTAGTGTCAAAGGAGTCGGCTTTCTTGGCCTTTGGGTCAGCAGAACTAAACTAATAGAAATAAGAAAGAGAAAAAAATTAAAAGAAATTGATAGAGACAATCAAGAAAGATGAAGTGGAGGAATGAGAGAAACAAATGAAAATTCAATGAAATGCAACAAAATGTTGTTACCATGTCGACCATGGTAACTACATGCTCCCAGAATCCACCCGTGGAAGGTCGAAATACAACGCATTGTTACTTCACAGGGAAATAATCAAAACTTTTCATCATGAATTAGATCTTTACCAACACGTTTAATCTCAATATGGCGTTCAATTCTTTGGACCAACTCTGAGGTAAAACTTTGATTGAATGCTCAAAACCTTAAGTTCTAACCCTAGGTCAAATTACCAAATTCCTTAATGAAAATATAAGGCAATTGAAATTAGTTACAATTAGTGACATGCATGAGCAATTTCTTGCTAGAAATTCATTCAGAAGAATATAAACTATTATATACCCAACAATCCAAATTACCAACAAAGGAACTGAACCAAAATAAAGAAAAATTATCAAAACAGAGAGTTCAATCCAGAAAATAAATAGAATAAAGATAGACAAACATTGAAATAGTGAGACCCATATTCTAATTACTGATAAAAAGGTGCAAGAAGCAAAGAGAGATTGCAGAAAAAACTCACCAAAGCGAAAAGCTTCACTGAAAGAGTGGAGTAGAAAGAGGAGGAGAGGAAATGTGAAAATGGGAATGGAACGAAAATGAGAGAGAATAGTTCTAAATGTGTTACTATGAAAATTTGTGTAATTATATATTTAACCCTAATTATAAGCATAATTTCAGGTATACCCTTGTTCGTATACCCTTGTTCGTCCCCCAAGTCCCGTTTCTATATTATATTATAAAAAGTATGTCATTCTTTTTTGTAACATAGACTAAAAAAGCAAGACACATAAACTACTGAAACAAAGGGAGTATCTAGTATTGGTGTTGCCAATTCTCACGAGGCCATTGGATACAAGTAACAACTGAGTTTTCCTCTACGTGCCATAGAGAAGGAAAATAATGGTAGTATTCAAGTCCATTTAATCAACAAATCATGTATTCACATCTTTTCTGGATATTCAATCATTTGGAAATGTCTCTGACTAAAGAAACCATCAGCATTACGAAGCATATGTTCCATCTAGATTCATTTTTTTAAAGGAATTTCAGCGAAACTAAGTTTCATCCGTGATTACTTTACTAAAAGCTTATGCATTTCTTAAGAAGCTTTCAAAATTCAACAAGTAATCCTACTGGAAAAGTGATCAACACTCCCCAAGTGATTGCATAAACAAAAGCTTTTCATATTATTTTGATTTTAAAGAAGTAATGAGTAACCAAGTTAAAATATATACTGCATCGTTGTTACCAATTGACACTCATACGCACAAGGAAAAGGTTTGGTTTTTCACTCAAATATGTTGCTAATTCATAGGTGTCTGTTCTTCGATCCAAACTGGTAATTCACTGCATTAATTTTAGTAGTTTCCGCGAGTATTAATGAATCTACAGTGACATAGCTCCAGACATGGGCTTCTTCCCTACATTATATGGCTAGCCGGATGTTTATAGCAATAGGGTACCATTACTTAAGTAACTCGGCACTTGGGCATAGTATAGGTTTGCCACTTAATCCACTATCAATGTATCAATGGTGGTGTAAATATTTTCTTTTAAAAAAAGCATCAGATTTGAAAATCCACACCTTTGTATATACGAACTGCTTAGGCTGTATCAAAAACGAACTGCTTAGGCTGTATCAAAAACGAACTGCTTAGGATTTCATTCCGCCCCTCATATTGCAAAGAGAAAAGTAACAAATTAATGGTGGAAGAAAACATTGGAGGAGTGGAACCGTTTTATCTACCCACTCTTCGGCCAGAACAAAAAAGAACATTTTTGGCCCATGCAGGTCTCAAACCTGCGACCTTCGCGTTATTAGCACGACGCTCTAACCAACTGAGCTAATGGGCCTTTTACTTTAAGTGTCAATTTAATTCTACATAACCGCATCGTATTGTTGGTTGCCATCGAAGCTTGCAATATTTTAGTACTTTTGTGAGACTAACAATACTTTAATAGGGAATGTTATAAATTTCAAAATTCAATTGATCATCCAATAATATCAAAGGTGACTTTAGTTATCAAATGATTGAAGATCGAGTTGGATTCTATTTTCTTATTTGGAATTTGGAAAATGAGATGGAAATCTACTCCTTAATTTTATTGATGAACGTACTAATCTTGTTGTTATGAACTTATGATACATATCGCCGAAGCCCCACATGTATGTAAATAGTTGATTCTCTAATAATCAAAAGTCTGGAGCAAAAACATTTCATGTACAGATGATAGGTTTTGAGAGTTTATAAGTGGTCGAACTTTATTCTAACTTCACTGATTCATTAAGAAGTTGGTCCGGCGGCGGGTTCACTAAAACACTACTTCATGTTCAGATTATGTATACATAAGCACAAAAAAATAAATACAAAATTAAAGCTATAATATAATTTAATGACATTTCGTAATTAAGATCTGCAAAATGGGCATGACGACAGTTACTTTTTTTGACTTGGCATGTGAGAGACATAGTAAAATTCCTCGTAAGAATCCTACAGAATTACTTTGTATTGCCGTCTGACTTAATAATGAACAAACAAAGCCAAAAACAAAAAAGGATAAAAAAGAGAGAATAAGATGGTTGATGCACCTAGTCGATCACAAATTGATGTATTAACTGAGCAAATATAACAGCATATATGCTAGAAAAATTTTCTTACACCGTCTTGATAATAAATTTAATCTAAACGACATAGCTTTGAAGCCTTAATAAATTATATTCTCACATATAGTACAGAACATTATTGATAGCCTCAAATTTATTCCCCATTTTGAGTGATAGGACTTAGGAGCCACACATCGACGCAAGTTCTTGTCCACTAGGCTAATTAACAAAATTACAGACTGTGAGTAAATCAGTTTCCCGGAAAGATTAAGAACAGCCTCAAATTTATTTACACGACAAAGAAAATAACTGAGTCTTAGTATGCCTTAAAACAATACTCCAGAATATGGAGTCATTTCGAGAAGACCTAGGAACGACTTAAATATATATTTTCAACAATCAGATTTTTAGCGAAGTTTAATCAAAGGCTCTATGGGGGCTCATAGGCATAAAACAGATAATATTTGAAAACTATTACAAGAAAATATGAGTTCCACACCTGGTACGTGCACTATCAATCTCACTTATAGTCTGTTTGGTCAAACTTCTAAAAAAATATTTTTTTTTCCTTTTAAAATTGAAGTGTTTGGCCAAACATTTAGAAGAAAAAAAATACTTTTGAGTAGAAGTAGAAGCAGTTTTAGAGAAATAGAGTAGTTGATCTTCCCAAAAGCACTTTGAGAATAAAACACTAAGAAGCTTGGTCAAACACTAATTGTTGTTCAGAAGTGCTTTTTGAATTAATTACCTAAATACAACCTGCTTCTCACTAAAAATAATTCTAAAAAAAAATGCTTTTGAGAAAAATCCTTTTTCAAAATAAGTTGATTTTAGAAGATTGGCCAAATAGGCTATTAGGGCGATACAAGGGCTTACTTGACATGGGAAAACGTTGGTGGATATGTCGATGGAACGACCTCCTCCGGTGGATTCATGTTGGATTTGGCAGTACAATTGAGATGTAAATGCTTCATACACAGCAATAAAATCATAGACAATAGAAAAATGGTAAAGAGCAATACAAGTACGAGCAACATAATTTGGCCATGAAGAGCAAAACTATGATTTCCAGAATATAGCAGCCTATCATCCTTCCCTGAAAATCCATCTGGAGCTATGGATGGTGTTTCTTGAAAGGAAGACATTTCAGCTTCGTCACTTTTATTTAAATACGTAACTGCTTATTATAATAAATCAGCTCCAACAAGCTTCTTATTCGTCTAATCCAAACGGGCTAGCTCAATAATTATGAAGAATTTATTTGGTGTACCTAGTAATTATTATTTCTTGGTACTCATTAGAGATAAAATATAAGTGCAGCTCTAGAGATGGTGAGGTTATTATAATGTTCTAGTTTCTTGGCTTGTCATGCAGTGGGATGGTTTATCATGAGTTTTCCATTTTCTTGAAATAACAACTCATCTGATTTTGACGCAACTTGGAGGATTTTCAGAAAGAATATAGTCTGAAATAAAATAAATATAAAAGAAGAAGAAGAAAGTACGTGAAAGTGGTTTCATTAATTAAAATTTAGGAAAAGGACTAAAAGGAGGTCAATGTCACCATAGAATTGGGCCATGATAAGGTACGTCAAAGCAATATGATTTCTACTGCTGTATATGGTACTAAGGTATCAGACAAATGCGGGAAATATATATATAATGAAATATCAAATCTGAAGCTTGGATGTCGAGAAAGAAAACAAGACAGAGAAGAGGAAACTGATGTTTCTAAACAAATTTATGTACACACGGTAGCTAACATCAAACCTTTCTATAACAGCCCCATTTATTATGATATTTTTTGACTGCTACAGTAAAGTATTGTTATATAAACGTACATTATAACATAACGGGAAAAAATAATTCCAAATAAAACTTGACCGTTATAATGAAATGTTGTAATAGAGGATAATTGTTATAGAGAAGTTTGACTGCATCTAAAAATATCTACCTCATTACAAGTCCCGTATAAAATATTAAAAAAAATAATCCTACAAAAATCTCATATATTTTTCTTTTATTGATTAAAAAATTATGTTACTTTTTAATGATCTTCTATTTAAATGGTCATATAACTAAAATATCATTTATAATGAACTGCAAAAACCAAATTTTACCACGATACTATAGCTGAAATAATAAGATACAATATCATTTTTTCTTGCTACAAAATTAGACGCAGGATGTTAACCTCTATATAAATATTAGGGCAAAGATTACTATTATATATATNTTCGGCTATATTTCGAGAGCTGCTGAACAGTGTTATTTTCCCTAAATATTGACTTGGAGGTTTGGACTAATTCTAATGGGCTGCTTCACTGGGCTGCTTCAGCTGTAGGCCCAAAACAGCTTCGCCATATCTTGTGGGCTGGCCACGTTTCTTTGAAAAAATGGCATAGTATGACAACCCATCAAGAGAATTGATAATTTTTTAGCCTTCTTTTATGTTTGGCAAAGGCAGCACCAAAAAATTAGAATTACATAGCCAAATCCTTAAAAACCCTAGTTCCTTATTTATTCTCTCTCCCCGTATATCTTCTTCACTTTCCCCATATTTCTTTTTCAATATTTTCTTCTTTTCTCTTCCCGTATTCTTCTTAAAGTTGTACAACCCCATCAACCAACTCATTGCTTTCAAACGAATCACTCAGCAATTCAAATTACTAAAATACATTCCATCGAAAAGCTTGTTGAATACACCATCAGATCCTTAAACGAAGAAATACACATAATCAGGAAAGAGAATTTCTTTAGGCTCAAGTTCAAAAAATACAACACTACTTCACTGGGGCTTTTCAGTCAATGACCTTAATAATGATATTATGACGTGAATTATATATGAAAATAGGCTCACTCCAAGACATTCCCTCTTCTTCTCTTTCTTTTTCAAGAATCGGATTCCAATTTTTTTTTCCTCTTTTTTTAATTGTGGGAAAAAAAATATGTGTGTTTGAGATGGTGTACATCTATGTATATCACCATGTATACCTATGTGTATATTATATTATATATCATGATATACATTATTGGAATTGGTACTATAAGGTTAAATCGTTCAATTTGATTTTAAGAGGGCGAAATTCATTCCGAATAAACTTACTTCAATTTTGTTCGTGATCTAAGAAGGAAAATAAATTTTTGATATAACATGTTTAGAGCAAGCTGTGAGAGTAAATAATTTTTTGATATACAAAGAAGAAAAATAAATTCTTGATATACACAAGGAAGGAAAACAAATTTGTGATATCCATTTTGGTATACACATATTCGATGTGTTATACACTACGGTATATAAATAATATAATTATTTTTATGTGATATATATACATTGATATAGAGACAACAATAAATTTTAAACAACAATATTTATAATTTTATATTTTAGATAAACAAAGAATGAAAATAAAATTTTATATACATTTTGATATACACAAAGAAATAAAAATAAAGTGTGGTATATACCTTTTTATTGTGATATACATTTATTGGCTACTTGGTGCCAATATTTAAAAGTAGGGTTTTTTTCTGCTAATTATGTGAGTATGTTGTCATACCATGCCAAAAACCACTTTTCTTTGTATCCGGACCGGAGAATTCGAAAAGGGATTTTTACCTTCCTATACTACATATGAAACTTTATTACCCTCCCTAATCAAGTTTTGTTTAATTACATGGCCATATATAATTTACCAATTATATACAAATTAGTTTTAAATGAGTATCCCTTTAAATTAGGAATTGAATAAGGATTCGGTTATTTCTCATCCTTGTTCTCTGTTTCTCCGGCGCTCTCTCTCTCCGTCTCTCTCTCATACGCTCTCTCTCTCCGTCTCTCTCTATCTCTCATTCTCTGTTATTTTCTCAATTTTTCTTCCTCTGATGTTCTCTACTTTTTATCCTTTCATGTTGTATATATTTTTAATAGAATTCATCAATGAATTTCAATCGTTTTACTATAAAGTTTTAACTTATCAATTTTCTTTCATGTGTGCATAATTGGTGTTCAAATTGAAATTGCCAATCAATAAATTTTGAAGGTGTTTGACTCTCCACCATTGACAGCCATTAAAAAGCTTTGAAGCTTTAAAATCGAATTTGGGTTTTCGAAAAATCATTATTTGTTTGGATTGGGTGTTGTTGCAAATAATTAAAATTATTGTTTGGAGTTTATACCTCAATTTTGAGGGTGTTTGGTGAAGATTAGACTTGATTTTGGCTGAATTTCAGATTGAAACTCNTATTATCAATACTATATTTTTACATAAATTTATTAATATGTATCAAAATTGTATTAAGAGAGTAAGTTTTGATTGGAATTTTAGAGAGGAAGAAGCACACACCACATACAAAATATATACAAATCAGATACAAAATATACAAAAGATATATTGTATAAAATTTGCATGAAAATTATATTTAAATTGTATGATATTGTAGTTGTATTCAACTGGGTAAGAAGGATGTATAAAAGTTGTAGATAAGTTGCATATTGCATAATTAGTTATATGAAACTTATTTTTATTATGTATGTTGTTGTAGATATTTCAAATTTTGTATTAAATTTGTATGAAATTTATTTTTAATTTATATGATGTTGTACCATGCATTATTCTTTTCTTAAAATAGGTAATTATGACAAAGAGAGAGAAGAGTATAATGTATTCAACAGCTTCTCAATTTGCAGCTTTTTCTTGTCAAGGTTGTTGAAGTTAATACTACTTCTCATTCTTTAGCACAATTAAGATCTCATCAGCTGCCGCAATTACAATGTTGAAGGGTTGTTCTCCACACAAAAGATACTGAATTATAGAAAGCATGGTTTTATAAGCAGTCCTAGTTCCCTTTGTTTTTGGTTGGTAAACTCCCCATCCTTCCTTTGTTTCCAAAGTAAGAACACTTTTTTCATGAATCCTCCGTCTCTTCTCAGTGGGCTCAGAGACAAATGGATATTTTCGTTCCTTCTTCTGAATTTTCTTGGGAGGCTTGCTCCTATAAACTCGATCCCCATAAGTTTTGGGGGCAATTCTTCCATATAGAGACTCTGCTTCACTAGAGGTTGAATTGTCCAATATGTAATTGTAGGTTTTCATTGGCTTGGTGGTTAACACCAGGAATAAGGTTATGTACGATTTCCTCTTCATTTTGCTATTTTTCGACTTTTAGTATCTTTATTAGAATATATTGTGCAAATGTTATAGGGTTCAGGGGTTGTTTTGTGTCAGTGTCATTTTATTTGGTAATTGGCTTTATTAGTGCAGTTTCTCTATATTAATTTCAATACTCCTGTGCTACATAATTATAAAGTTGAATTTGTTCTTATTGTTAATTATAATACTCTTGTGCTTCATTATCATGGAGTTGATTTATTCGTATTATTTGTTGTAATTTCAATTACAGATTGGGCTAAATTTGCTGCTTACTATTTATGTCTGAATAAGGGCCTAGAAGTGGAAATTTCTTTGAGATGACTACTCCAACGGGTTCAGGAAACATAAAGCTTAGGAAGAAACTAAAACGGGAGCTGTTATTGCCACCATCAGTTACTCAAACGTGGCGTGATGACCCAAAATATTATCTTTAAATTTAATAATTAATTATGTGATCTAAGAACTATTTACCATTACTCGACTTACGTGCGCAGCCCGTAAAATTTTTCGGAAAATTTTCAGGTAAAAAATGGATTAAAATATGAATTAGATGTTTAAAACACAACTGAGTTGACTTTGTTCAATACTTTGAGAAAACGGACTCGTATCAGTATTTTGACAGTTCTGGTAGGTCCATATCGTGAATTGCGACTTGGGCGTATGCCCGAAATCAAATTCCGAGGTCCCTAGCCGAAGATATGGAATTTTGATGAAAAATTTAAAGTTTAAGTTCAAATGGTGACCGGATATCGAATTATGTGCAAACGACCCCGGAATAGAATTTTGATGATTCCAACAGCTCCGTATGGTAATTTTGGACTGAAGAGCGTGATCAAAATTTTATTTGAAAGTCCGTAGTGAAATTAGGCTTGAAATGGCTAAAATAGGAATTTAAAGTTTGGAAGTTTGATCGGAGAGTTGACTTTTTGATATTGGGGTCGAAATTCGATTCTAAAAATTTTTATAGCTCTGTTTTGTCATTTATGACTTGCGTGCAAAATTTGAGGTCAATTGGACTGGATTTGATAGGTTCCGGTGTTGTTTGTAGAAATTGAAAGTTTCAAAGTTCATTAGGCTTGAATCTATGTGTAATTCGTGATTTTAGCGTTGTTTGATGTGATTTTAGGTTTCAAATAAGTTCGTATGATATTTTAGGACTTGCTGGTATATTGGGTTGAGGTCTCGAGGGCCTCGGGTGAGTTTCGGATGGTTAACGGATCAAAAAC